AAGAATTTTTCAAACATTTTAAACTGCGCTACCGAGTTTTGGAGCACCGGAAGTACCCTAAGTGTGGGAGTACCAGATATACCCTCCCCTCCCCCCGGGGCCGAACTTATGTTTTGTACTATTTATTGTTGAATTTGTCATTTTTTATGTCAAGCAATGTTTTGAGTTTTGATTTCATATTTTTTGACAACATACATTGATGTTGTGCCAATGTGCTGGATTTTTTAAAGAATTTTTCAAACATTTTAAACTGCGCTACCGAGTTTTGGAGCACTGGAAGTACCCTAAGTGTGGGAGTGCCAGATATCCCCTCCCCTCCCCCCCGGGCCGCTGCTCCGATGGTTTTTTCGGCCATCCGAGATTCAATTGGGCCTACTGGGCCTGTATTAGGATCCGGTCCAATGTAAAAGTTAAAAACTCTAAAACTGGATGCTGGCGACGCTGGTCTCTTTCGCTCGCACCCTCGCGTTGCGGCGCCTCGCCATGGTCGACCGATGTGGGGTCCCTCCACCTTCGCTATCCCTGACCACGACCTCGAGTGGCGGCGCCACCGGTTCTCTCTGTGTGCCCCTCCGCCGCTACGTCGCCGGTATCTCGCTGAAAGGCGCGTCGAGCTTGCCAGATCGGCCCTGCCGCCGTGGATCCAGTATGGGTTACACTGAGATCCCCGTCCATTAATTCTCCGTTGCTTGATTTGACCAAGTTGATTGCTTTCCCTTGGTTAAGATTTGGGCTGAACAAGTACATCGTCCACATCCATAGCCCAAGCTGCGAAACTATAACCAAAAGAATCATTTCACGTTACCGCGACTACCTCGCCTACCTGAAGAATCATCCGGAGCTAGAGAAACATGTCAGCCATAGATGCAGCAGTACCAACCAATTAAAGGAGATGCTGGGAGAGCTATTTGAAGGATGAAAACAGCTTGAGGCATAAAACAGAGCCACCTAACATGTTTTATATTGTAGTTGTATTTTTTGTTTGTAAAGTGAAGCTGTAGTCTGAATTTCGTACTACCTGAAGCGTCATATACTATCAACTGGCCACAATCTCTGGGTATCTTGTGATTTGATATCCGATTCTATGTCAAACACTATCTTATTCTCCAGGCAAAAAAAACTATCTCATTCTGCCTGCTAATCAACTCACGACAAGTGTATAGCTAATGCAAATGAATTTAAATGCGAAACACGTGAACTAGCGGACAAGTTTGGCAAGCCCGTAGCAAAACAGAGCACAAATCAAGTGCCACATATAGTGTTGGTTATGATAGCAGCATGCACTAATACCAGTAATAGTATTCCCTCCGTTCCGAATTACTTGTCGCACGGATGGATGTATCTGGATGTATTTTAGTTCTAGATACATCCATTTCAGCGACGAGTAATTTGTAACGGAGGGAGTAGTTATCAGCTTTGCGCAGACCCCGAACATCACAGAGCTTCTGATCAAGCTTCACTAAAATAAAACATGAAGGAAAAGAAAAGAGTAATTAAAAAGCCGCAGATGCTTTCAGACCTCTGTTGAAGTCCAATGGTGCATCTCATAGATTCGGTTGGGCGACGAACAGCAAATGGCAACTGGCAAGGTCACAACGCTGATCACTTTTTTGTAAGAAAGACAGGGTCACAAGATAAGGGCTTACGTTGTCAATTCAGTTGTTGAAGGAGTGACTGTTAAGCGATAGGCTTATAGAGAATGTATAGATAGAAATACGTGACAACATATCACGTATGTGTTGTAACGCATACAATATATTTGGTGCGGCAGGTTGTTAGCTAAATAGATCTTATCTTGGTATAGCTTGGAGTAGAGGTCATGTTTAGCAACAATGTGCGCCTTCTTGTAATCTGTCATTAAATACATTATAACTGAGCATTTTTCCTGCCCTCCCAGGCCATTAGTATTTTTAACCATTGGATCATCACTTTTAGGCTTCATTGGCCGTCAGATTTGCTCCTAATGGCAACCAAATCGCGCCTACAGACTTCATGACGAGCACTAACCCTGTCGGGCCGCTGGGAAAAATATCTGGGACTCCCATCACTAGGGTGCTCCTGGTGCTCCAAACTCGGTAGCACATTTTAAAATATTCGAAAAATTCTAAAAAAAATCCAGCACATTGGCACAACATCGATGTATGTTGTTAAAAAAAATTCAAATCAAAATCCAAAACATTGCTGGAGATACAAAAATGACAAAATGTACATCAATGTGATAATGGGCCTAATCTAAAGCCCAACTTATGTTGTGTACTATTTACTGTTGAATTTATCATTTTTTATGTCAAGCAATGTTTTGAGTTTTGATTTCATATTTTTTGACAACATACTTTGATGTTGTGCCAATGTGCTGGATTTTTTAAAGAATTTTTCAAACATTTTAAACTGCGCTACCGAGTTTTGGAGCACCGGAATTACCCTAAGTGTGGGAGTACCAGATATCCCTCTCCCCCCCGGGCCGAACTTATGTTGTGTACTATTTACTGTTGAATTTCTCATTTTTTATGTCAAGCAATGTTTTGAGTTTTGATTTCATGTTTTTTGACAACATACATTGATGTTGTGCCAATGTGCTGGATTTTTTAAAGAATTTTTCAAACATTTTAAACTGCGCTACCGAGTTTTGGAGCACCGGAAGTACCCTAAGTGTGGGAGTACCAGATATCCCCTCGCCCCCCCGGGCCGCTGCTCCGATGGTTTTTTCGGCCATCCGAGATTCAATTGGGCCTACTGGGCCTGTATTAGGATCCGGTCCAATGTAAAAGTTAAAAACCCTAAAACTGGATGCTGGCGACGCTGGTCTCTTTCGCTCGCACCCTCGCATTGCGGCGCCTCGCCATGGTTGACCGATGTGGGGTCCCTCCACCTTCCCTATCCCTGAACACGACCTCGAGGGGCGGCGCCACCGGTTCTCTCTGTGTGCCCCTCCGCCGCTGCGTCGCCGGTATCTCGCTGAAAGGCGCGTCGAGCTTGCCAGATCGGCCCTGCCGCCGCGGATCCAGTATGGGTTACACTGAGATCCCCGTCCATTAATTCTCCGTTGCTTGATTTGACCAAGTTGATTGCTTTCCCTTGGTTAAGATTTGGGCTGAACAAGTACATCGTCCACATCCATAGCCCAAGCTGCGAAACTAAAACCACAAGAATCATTTCATGTTAGCGCGACTACCTCGCCTACCTGAAGAATCATCCGGAGCTAGAGAAACATGTCAGCCATAGATGTAGCAGTTCCAACCAATTGAGGGAGATGCTGGGAGAGCTATTTGAAGGATGAAAACAGCTTGAGGCATAAAACAGAGCCACCTAACATGTTTTGGAGAGTTCATGTTTTATATTGTAGTTGTATTTTTTG